TTTGCCTCCCACCTTGCTAGGACAAGCCCGCATTGCAGGGTACAATTTATAGGGGTTCAGGGTTTAGGGTTTAGGTTTTCTAAGGCTTGAGGTTTATGGGGGGGGTTAGGGATGCTTACTTTTTACAGCAGCTTAAGTGTTCAAGGTGTCAGCAATTCGTTGACCCCAAATCCGAAGATCCCAGCTCCTGCATGTGAAACGTCTAAAGCCCAAACTCAATCCCCTGGGTACCCCAGGACTGACAGAGGCCGTCTGTAAAACTGCCAAAGTTGCTACTGGGGCCTGAACTTGTGGGGGTCATAGAGAGGAGGATATTGGGGCTCAGGGCGTAGGCCTAGGCCCCTCGGCGTGTGGCGCCCTCATACAGCCATTCTAGAACCCTTGCAAAAAAACCTTGCAGACTCCCGGAAACCTGCGACGACTGCGGAAAAAGCAAGGTAGGCCTCAAGCATTGTAAACCTGCAGAGGAGTCATAAACTTTGCTTCAGGGGCCCTAAGCAGAACCCAAAGAATCGGCAGCTAAGGGGACACCCTTGGATTAAGATGTGCAAGGCACCCTCGGCTTGAGAATTGACGTTGCATGGTCTTCTCGTTTGGGGCCACGACAACACGCACCGAGGACTCGACTGAATAAGCACAGACCGATGGCAGAATGCGGGCGAGAGCGAGAGAGAGACAGGGAGTGAAAGCGAGACATAGAGAGAGAGAGCCCCAAACCTTCAAAGCCCTAAACCCTTTTTTTGAGCAGGGCTGCAGCGCCCTAAACCCTAAAACCCTAAACCAGCAACAAAGGGAAAGCTGCATCGGCTTAGGGCCGGGTTCAGGATGGTCTCTCGATCTTCTGCCTCAGTGCCATTCCTTGGCGCTGGCTCTTCCAAGAGCGTAGCGGAGGCGGAGGCCGTGCCCCGGATGTTGAGCGGCAAACCTCAGCCGAATCCATGGTCTTTGGTACTACTCTATAGTTTTTTGATATGTTTTTGATAGTACGGTATGGCATCTTATGACTTATGATCCCATCCCTATCACAACAGATTCTCGTATATTCTAGAGATTCTAGTGTCTTATAGCACATTACAGTAAACTGTCGATGGCATGACAATGTGTTCAACAATGACAGCAGCAATCATGAATGTCAACATCAAGCTGGATGCGGAAACTCAGGAGCCTAAGGCAGCCACTCCCACTCAGATGATTCGCACTGGCGCTCCTGATAGGACAGAGGTTGCCGTCGGCGTCTCAACTACATTGCGTGGTTCACAATTTCGGCCTTCGCGGCTGGTGCCTCACACAAGTCGGAACCACACGTCGCGCCATATACAGCCCACAACACGACCACTTCGTATCAAATGCCAACATAATCCCATTGTAATCCGCTTCGCTCCGATATCCCAGGCCCCACAACGCTGACTCATCTCTCAACCCCTGGACTGTTGAAGCCCGTTGATTTTGCGGGTCTTCGGCCAGCGTCCTATTCCTATGCTCTGCTCGCGAACACTCTGTCTTTCAATGCAGGTTGGGCAGAAAAGCTGGATCACGCAACGTGCTTCGATGCGAATGCTGCAGCAACACCACGAGTCATCATGCTCATGACCACCATGATGACAACCATCAGGGACAACAAAACAAAATCGAACTCCGGCTAGGACGACTACAACTGCGACTGCTACTACCACTACGGCCACTGCTAGTGATGCAGCTACTGCTAGTAACTGCTAGTACTGCGCCGCTGCTGAAAACTATGCAACAACGCCAACAGCAACAGCAACAGCAACAACAACAAGGACAAGGTAGCGCTGCTGCTGCTACCGCTACTTCTGCCTCCTCCTCCTCCTCCTGCTACGACAACTACTAATGATAACAACAACAACAACAACTACTACTACTACTACTACTACATCTACTACTGCTGCGACTGCTACGACAACTACGACTACGACGACGACGACTACTACTAGTGCTGCCAAGCGCGGCGGCCGACTAGTAGAAATCAGAAAGCTACTCCATCATCATAAAAATAACACAATCGAAACAACATCACACGTGAAAAGCCGTGCCTTTACGGAATCCATTTGGGATTGCCGTGAAATGATTCATGCTCACTTATCCACCGGGCACCCGGCCCAGAACTTGATGAGGAAGCCCTCCAATCAGAGTTGAACAAGCGAAGAGCCGATCGAGGGGCGGGGCTGTTCAGTATAATCGTAGATGTGATGGATCCTCTTACCGTTTTCTGGTCTGGTCGAAAGTGTCTTCTTCAATGTGGTATGTACGTTTGCTACTACGATGATTCTGGTCATGTTGTGTTGAGCTTGGCAAATGAAGGAAGTACCTTTTGAAGCCCATCTAGGGCATTTGATCTTTCCAGTCTTAGATTTGTTTTCAAGGTCTGTCTCAATTTCTTAATCAGGTGGGAATTGGGCTCTCTGCAAACCTTAAACCCGACAACTCCGCAAATCCTGAAGCGTGTAAAATCAAGATCATGCAGCCCTATACCCTCAAAGCCCCCAAAACCCCTGAAAAGTCTCAAACCCTACCCATAGTCCCCATAAAAGTTCCTTTCTGTGGTTCACACTTAGGATCCTAGAAGGTAATCCCAAAAAGGAACTACTATGGAGCCTATGGCATGGGTACAGCCCAACTTGGACCCCGAAAGGCCTGCGGGAAGCCGATGCAAGAAGCTCGGGAGGACAATCGTCGGGGCTCGGAGCCCGAACAAAGGCCTCCAAGATACCCCACAAAGACCTTCATAATTAGAATAGTTAGGGCTTCCTTTAAAAGGTTCCTTCAAGGCATCTGTATATAGGTAGACTAAGGTTCCTTTAAAAAGGGATCTGTGTTTCATTTCCGTCTCTCCATCACTACTTTCCTGCTAAAGGAACATGTCATAGTGCAAGCTTTAGCCACCTATCGCCTAGATAGTTCAACGGTCTTTGCAAAGGGCTGTCGGTGTACTTTGAAGCAACTCACTCTGCAAGATAGCGCAATGAAAAGTTGGGCAGGATGTTGTCTGGTTTTTGAGGCCTGCTTTCAACTTAGGGGCTCTACTGTTCTGTTACGGGGTTTCGGCCTCGCCCCAAACGTGTCAAGGGCCCAAAGGAATTTCAGAGCGTTCGAAAGGCGGGTTCCGTTGCTTTGCTAGCGTGTCTTGAAGCAAGAAGTGAATAGCAAACGCGGGTTTCGAGGACAAGAGTTTAGGTTTGGAGATGGTTTTGATTTGGACTTTCACTCTCGGTAAAAGGGGGACGAAGGTTCAGGGGCCCATTAGACATTAGGGGCCCCACAAACCCTAAACCCTAAGGCCCTAAGGGCTCTTTAAAGGAGCCTTTAAAGGAGCAAGCAAGTGCTGACCACACACCTCACATCCCATACTCCTCGCTATGCTTTCACCTCTTTTCTCAACCCGCCTAATAATAATTCAACTCTTCACACCGACGAAACACGAAGCACCTCCCAAAACAAATGCAATGATCCATAACACACCCCCGACACAAAACCATCACCCAAAACTAAAGCAAAGTTCCACAACACAACTCAAAACACGAAGCACCTAAACAAGACATCATAACCTTATCCATAAAGTTATCAATATCCTAATGAGGTCTTGGGACAGCGACCCTAATTATTAAACACACTCAAAACCATACCCCCGAGCTCGGACGCTTCGGCAACTCCTCGTCAGGCTACACGACTTGCCCTCTGCATAGAATTATATATTCACAAAAATGATTGTTCGGGTATTATGTTAAAAAGGTCGTCAATATTATTGAGATAGTCGGTGTCATGTCTTATTGTTTCTCTTTTCCTGCATTCTACCGTGGGTAGATAAGGATATCTGGCATCCATTAACCTTTCAGATGAAAAACCATTTTCAATTTATGGCTCTGCTATTCGTGTTACTCCACAATAAAGAGTTTGTTGAATGAAGCTTATATTCAATTTTATGTTCTTCATTGGGTTCGGTGTAACCCCGAATTAAATTTGTTACAGTTACCACTTTCAATACAGGGAACTACAATGGAGACTGTAGGTAGTATCAACCAAGCTCGAACTGGGGGTCCGAAGTAGCGTGTGTAGACGTAGAACTTGGCACTGGCAGTAGTCTTCGCACACACACACACACGCGCACACACACCACTCACTCACTCACTCACTCCGGTGCGAATACCAGACCCCCAATGCTCAACGGCATCTGGTGTTGCAAACAAGGTAACAAGGGATGATGTGATACGAGTCGCAACCGAGATCGCCCTGCCTGTACATTGGGTTACCCTACTGTGCTGAAAGTCAGAGGCAGCAACTTACTAAACTACGGTTGCAAGAACTCTGAGGGCTGATATGCTCCAATATTCACAGCGCATGGCCGTGGCAATCTCCGGCCTGGCTGTTTGCATCGGGAGCAGTAGGCTCCTTCAACTTCCTCGGCGAAGTGTCGGGTTCAGGATGGTGGGGTTTCGACGCTCACACTCGGACAATTCAGGCAGGGCACGTGGACCCAGGGGTCGCAGTGTCGTCACGCTAGATGACCCCACGACAGAAACAAGTAACCAGTCCTAACCATCTAAAATCATCCACCACCCAAAAGGCTTCCTGCTCCAAGGCTTTAGGGTTTAGGGTCGGGTGTACCAGAAGTTCTCAACTACCTTCTAAAAAACCTGAAATACAAACTATCATGGACCGTAAGGGCTCTATGCAAGGGCCCCTGGGGCTCCTGGTAGGGTTGAAAAAGCCTTGAGTGAAGAGAGAGCTCCATGCAGCCTGAAAGCTTCCCGGAATTACGATCGGGGATCAACGATTTTGCAGGCTTTTCCCTAAGACTCCAAGTATATAAATACTAGGTCCAAAGTCGATAAAATGGTACCTACTTTGGGCCATTTGGAGTCTTAGGATTTCTGGGTCTGAGTTAGTTACATGTTTATAGGTTGAGTCGCATTTATGATCACAAGCTCTGACCAGCGTATCCGGTTAGGGCTTAGAATTATCTGCCTCAACTGGCAGAGACTTTCGTTCATTTCCCGTCGCCGTTGTAGGGCAGCTGGTGGCTGGTTGTTGGTGCGTGTACTACCTGCACCCTCCCCATCACGGAGACAAGTCTGCATGCCCACGGAACACGACACTTGGCAGCTGAAGCACAATGCGCAGTCTGTGCAGGCGAGACAGCAACCCAACCAATGACTTCGCTGGAGAGTGAAGTGCATGCATTTGGCCTTTAAAAAACCTGTATTTAACACTCCAGATTGAAACCCATGGGTCTTGAATATGCAAATCCCTTTCACTGAGTCTGGACATGGTGCCGCATGAATCGACTGGCCGATTTGATCTAAGCTTCTGATTTTCGAGCTCCAAGACCTGCAATTTCGCAGACAGTCCTTGGCTGTGAAGCGAAGGCGTGGCCAAACCATCACAGCTGGGGGCTCAGTTCAGTGAGTTCAGTGCTCTTCAAGAACAGGAGCACCAAATCTGAGCACAAAGCTCCACACCCGAGCCAGGGATATCAGAAAATCCCTGCAGGACGGCACAGCATTCGGTAGAATCGATGGGATCATGCGGGATTATGTCGGAGAAGGCACGGTGCAGCTCATCCGTCAGCTCCAACAGCAGGTTTTCCCAGCGGTTCGCCATGCAATGGGATCCGCACGAGGCGGTCATGTAAATTCCGAACTTGTCTAGACTTTCTGAAACTTTAACTCTGCTCTGGAACAAAAAATCTTCTCTGGGTCTCGTTGTGAGGCGGGGGGAGGCAGGGATGTTTGGTCTGTGTGAACAAACTCAACCATCTTAACGTAATGCCAGGTAAAGTAAAGTATGCCTATACCCCAGACTCTAGACCTTGAGACCCTGAACCCTCAAGCGCATCCCAGCTGTTTCAGCAACTTGTCGGGTCTTCTCCCAGCATGTTCATGGTGTGGGGCTGCGTTTCGTGGCCCCAGCCAGCTGACTTGAGCCGCAATCCCTGGACAAACTACAAGGACCGTAGATACGATACCCCTGATTTTCAGCCGTCCGGCATATGAGTATCTCAACATGTAAGCATCTATGTATGCATGTATGTATAAATGTAACGGCCTGGAGTGTGATGTAATGTAATGTCATAGGTGTGTATGCATACATACTATATGTATGTATATATATACATGTATGCCTGTAATTAGATTTATAGGTTAGGCCAGGGTGAATAACTTAAACATTAGACTAGAACAGACTATCACGATGACTGTGCAAACATGTCTATGCAGAAAGATTTCTCGCTTCTTCTGGAAACTCCACACATATGCAGTATACTCATCGGAAGACCTGCAACGAGACACCTAGCCCCGACGCTACCACAGTAACTGTTGAACAGTCGGCTGTCCAGCGCCATGCCGAGAAGCTAAAACCAGCTTCTTCTTCTGCTTCTCAGCCATTCGGACTGCCGTCTCGCACTCCTGTGCATCTCTCTGCCGCAGCTGCAATACACGGTCGTTAAACCTTTTGAGGCGCATACAGCTAAACGAGATGCCACAACTTACCCATCCCCCCCCTCAACCCCCAACTCCCCCTCCGCAATAACTACTTAAATCTATTCCTCAGTAGTGCCCCTCTCCAGCTATCCCTAAACTGATCTCCTGCCCAACACAACCCTTCTGTGATGCTAGGCCTTTAGGGTTCAGGGCTTTGGGTAACCTTCTCGAACTCCTAAGGAATCCGACATGCAGTCTATAAACCAGTCTTAAGTTAAGCCTTAAGTTGACTCAACTGCCCCAAACCCTACCCGGAACTCAAGAGCCCTCAACCCTGAACCCTAAACTCAAGAGCACTGAACATCCCTGAACCCTAAACCCAAGAACCCTGACCCTAAAGAGCACCCTCCCAGCAGTCCACAGTCTCTGCTGGACACTTTGGCAGCGCCGCCAGGGAGGGCAAGGCTGTAGATGGCAGCAGTCGAAGAGGCGCCTTCTCTATATCTCGGCTATCTGATGTAGATATATATATATATATGTGTGTGTGTGGGTGCGTGTGTATGTATCTATGTATGTATGTATGTATGTATGTATGTATGTATGTATCTCGCCCTCTCTACACATATAGATAGACAGGTAGATAGGTAGGTAATGGTAGATACGTAGATAAGTAGATAGGCTGATAGGTAAGAAAATTATATAGAAAATGATAAATAGATAGACAGTTAGCTAAATTAAACAGCTAGATAGATAGATAGATAGACAGATACATAGATGCTTCGACCGGCTATCTGCATATACGCAGTATATACGGAAAAAGATGGAGACAAAGATGTGGAGACCATACAGATAAAAAAACATATAGTTATATACCAAATACACATACATACACAGATATATGCCTGCGTACATACATACGTACATACATGCATACATAAATACATACATAAACTCGAACATATAGATTTTTGAGCTTCAAATCCTTTAGGCATGTTGAGGGTCTTAGGGCATTGGCATGTTTTCGAAGGTTTAGGATTCGGGCTTTAGGCACTTTAAACACAGGTCCAAGTCTTCCTGAGAATCGCCTGAGCAATGCGGCAAACAGTGGGACGCGGGTCCATGTCATCATAAGCTAATGTTCTTTGGTTCAGCCAAGCCGGGCGGCCCCCGTAGTGGAGCGCACCGCCTTTGCTTTGTCCTTGGCACGGTTTTCCAACAAGGTCTTAGGAGGATCATGGCTTGAAGACGTTCCGGGGTCCAAAGGCGGCGAAGCTCATGTTTTCGCAGCAAGGTTCAAGCTTTAATGGAAAAAGCCGGCCAATGTGCTGAAATGCAGGCAAACAGTGAATATTGCATGCTCGGCTCCAACAGCTTCTGCTTCCGGAACTTCTTGTCAGAAAGCAGGGCCTTCGATGCACGAGGCTGGGCTTTTCATCCCTCCCACGGGGCTGGGCTTAGGCTTCAGGGTTTACGCTTTCTGGCTTCCTTTCACTCGGGTCAGTGGCCGCAAGGACCCCAACGCAGAGAACTGATGCTTGCACCTTAGAGTGATACAGTATGGGAAGATCTGAGAGCATTCCTGCACCCGTGCCCTGATGTCACTTCTCCATCCACCTGCTCCTTGCAGGGGGCTTTGATTTTCTGTCAGCACTCGGAAAAGTGGTGAGAATCTTCGAAGGCCGGCCGAGAATACAAGCTTTCAAACTATAGCATTGCACAGTCTGATTCTCGGCAGGCTACAGACATCTGGTTTGCATCAACTTTGCCATGGGCTTCGACTCCCTGCAAGACCCACAGGGTTTGAGTGCAGGTGTGTGTGTGTGTGTATCATCATCGGTCTGAATACCTCCGAAATTTTTTAGCACTCGCACTCGACGCATCAGGCGAACTGATACGTACACTGATTGTCAACCTGACAATTCTATACAGGACAACGGGAAATCCAGAACGTAAGGCAAGGATACATGCCGCCATATCGGGCCATATCTACACCCTAAGTTGTAAGGGCATCTTGATGCTAGGGACA